TGGAAACGTGGACTTCAGTCACGTATTTGAAAGGATGGAAACTTTCTTGAACAGCACTTCACGAGAAACGGAAACCCTGGTGCCTGGAGCACTGCCAGCACACGCGTGGTCCTTGGTAAGCCGTGTAGGTTGGCTCCGTGGAGCAGGAAGCTTCTGTGTGGGTACACACTCCCCTCCACTGTGCCTGCAGGAATCACTGTGGCAAATGGCCAGCTACCCCCAGGCCCTGGGATTAAGTAGGCCGTGGGATAAGCAGTTACTGAATGAAAGAATTTAAATTAGTTCTGTCCACTGTCAGGAGCATTGCTGTCTCCATTCGAGCCTTCAATTAGCCTTTTTAGTCAAGAGAGTTTAGTAAGAAACAGGCGTAGAATCTACGTTAATTGGCTTTTAGGGGACAAGAGTTGATCCACGCCTTGCATTTTAAGTAGCATTGTTGGATGAGAGGATCCCTCTCCAAGCCATTTAAAAAGAAGGAGCTGACGCACAGCCTCACTCGCGAGATATTTCTGTCCAAGGGACACGGAATATTCCACCTCTGTTCTTTATTCTTCATTGCTATACCCAGTTTTTTCCAAGTTCCTAGCAGATGTTAAATAAATATTGGGTGATTAAAGTCTTTGTTCCCTAGGTGGCAATAGAAAGCATCACATAAAATGGTAAAGAAGGAATATACAAGAGTATGCAGTGACTGCTGGTTACAAGTGATGAGATTGAATATTCAGGCTTATTTCTAATATTTCTAAAGTGGTTTTAAAAATTACTTAAAGGTTTAAAGAGAAGAGAATGACAAGAGTGGAGAAACTGTAGAGGCTGAATGGTTATTGATTAACAGAGTAGAAAGCTGAAACCTTGCTGTCCGCAGTCACCTCTTACCCTGGAGAACTCAGAAGGGCACCAGGACCTCTGAAAATAAGGATGCAGGACTGAACTGTAAAGAGGAGGATCAACTGAAAGTCTACGAGAAGCGGATACAGCTGCAGGAAGCTCTGATACACAGAGCACTTAAGCGACTATGCCCTTGAACTTACCCTGCAAAGAGCAGGGAGCACGAAGTGGGAAAAGTCCAACACGAGCAGTTCCTGAGTCTGATGCCAGGGCGTGAAGGGAGCTGGGTAGGAAAGGCCATCCCTGGGAGCGGGACCCTTGTCCTCCTTTCCCACTAACACCCCAGGGTGTCAGCACTGACGCTTACGTCTCCCTGTCCCACCTGAGGCAACACTTGAGAGATTTCTTTCTGGAGAAGCAGGTGGATCTAGAAGAAAAAACTTTCATATGATAACATATGGGGTTGCGTCCCATGCTGCCAGGCGCCCAACCCCATAAACCCACACTTAAGCCAATCAAGAATTCAGCCGAGATCATACCCAAGGAACTTGCAACGAGCTATTTAGAGCCTCTTAAATATTAAAGGAGAGTAATGGGCCGTAATACACTTGAGAAAACCTGCATCATGGAAACACAGGCCATAACTACTGAACAAATTCAGGCAAAAAGGAACTCAGAAGATAAACAGACAAGGCACAGACGAAAACAGCCCATCAAGACAGGAAAAAAAGACCCCACAATATACCCTATATCATCAATATAATCAGATATAAAAAAGATATTCTTTGTATGTTGAGAGAAGGACACTGTTTAAGAAGGAGAGTTTATTTAGAGAATAAGTAGAAGCTCATGGATATCTCATGGACATTAAAAATACAGCAATAAAAACAGCTCTATGGAAAGGTGGAAGATACAATTGAAGAATACTAAAAAATAAATGAGAGATGAAAAATAGGAGATCCAAAGTTTAGAGAGCTCATAGGAGTTATAGAGCTGATAGTCTTATGAATTAGAGTTCTAGGAAGAGAACACAGAAATTATAAAAGAATATAAGACTACTTCTCAAAACTGGAAGACATGAATTTCTAGATGGAATAGCCCAGCACAGTGAGAGAAATAACGTTAACACAAGGCACACTGTGATCAAATTTTAGAGTTCCAAGATTAAAGAGAAGAAATAAAAATAATTTTTAATCTTCTAGAGAATAAAACAACAGAGTAAGAATGGCATCCAAAAGTTAAAATCTGAAAATAGAAGACAGTGAAGAAATGTGTTCCAAATTCTAGGGAAAAGTGTTTCAAATTTGATCTTATAAGCCTATACCACGGTGGATATTGTGGCACAGCAGAGTAAGCCACTGCTTGGGATACCCACATCCCATCTGATCCAACTTCTTGCTCATGTACATCCTAGGAGGTAGCAGGTGATGGCTCAAGTACTTGGGTCCCTGGCATCCACACGGAAGACTGGATGGAGTTCTAGGCTCCTAGCTTTTCCTTGGCCCAGCCTTGGCTGTTGTGGGCATTTAGGGAGTGACCCAGTAGATGGAAGATCTTTCTGCCTCCCTCTCTGTCTCTGTCATGATTCCTTTCAAATAAATAGACATTAAGAAATAAATAAAAATATATGCTCCTTTTCTCGAGAAAGTTATTATAGAACATGCCTTATTAAAATGAGAGGAAACAAAAGAAAAGGGAGACAAAGATCCAAGAAGCAGGGACTCCATCAACAATAACTAAAGAGGCAGAGGCAATTATGAGGATGATGGTATTAGTAAGTGCCAGAAGGACAGAAGTTCAGATTGACGGAAGACAAGATGTTTGCGCCCCGGGAAGAAGTAAACGATGGAACTCATAGTTCACTTGATGTCTCTGACCACCTTTTAAGGTATTGTGTGGTCCTGTGCAGAGTCGCTGAAAGGTACAAAGAAAAACCAAGCAAACAATTAAATGAGGAAATTCTCAACTTGAAGAAATATTAACAAAAAATTAGCACAAAAAAGGAAATTTCACAGTGCCCACATGCTAGTTTGTATATGTATGTTTGGTACTAATAGTATATATCTTGGATGCTAATTTTCTTGGATGCTAATTTATAAATGATAATACAACTCTATTGGGAGCATGAGGAAGAGAGATGGGATGTATGCATTGGAGGTGGAAGTGGAAGAGAGTTAAATTCTAATCTCCCATAACAGAAGTCAACAGAAAATAGATAAAACTGATTAAAAAAAAAAAAGACACCAAGAATAGAGCTATTAAAGTATAGACCTGAAGATACAGTGGAAAATTCCTTTCATCAAAGCAGCCAACAAAAAGCAGCAGCCATGCCTCTGTGCTACCCCACGGCTGTGGGCCTCAACAAAGGTCACTAGGTGACTGAGAAAGTGAGCAAGCTCACCAAGTTCCTGCATGACACGATCACGGAGGTTTTGACCCATACAGCACCTTGCCACAGAGCTGCTCAAGCTCTTCCAGGACAAACAGGCCCTCAAATCCATGAAGAAAAAAACAGGGGGCCTGGCATGGTGATGCAGGGGGTTAAGCCACTGCCTGCAGTGCTGGCGTCCCATAGAGCACAGGTTCACATTCCAGCTGCTCCACTTCCAAATCCAGCTCCCTGCTAATGGGTCAGGGAAAGCAGCAGAAGATGACTCAAGTACTTGGTTCCCTGCTACCCACATGGGAGACCCGGATGCAGTTCCAGGCTCCTGGCTTCTGTTTGGCTCAGACAGGGCTGTTGAGGCCATTTGGGGGATAAACCAGCAGAAGGAAGATATCTTTCTGTCTCTTCGTCTCTCCAACCCTGCCTTTCAAATAAATAAATATTAAAAAAAATAAAATAAAAAGGAAGGAAGGGAGGGAGGGAGGGGAGGAAGGGAGGGAAGACAGACAGGGTGGAGACATCCCAGGGCAGAAGTGGGAAGAGCTAAGTAAGGTCCCTGCTGTTATGAAGAAAGTGGCTCCCAAGGACTGAGCCTCTCCCCTCGCATAGTAACCCTCAGTGTCCCTCACCAAAAACAAGCAAACAAGCAATACTGAAAATTGCCTCCTGGGTCAGGGAAATACTGTTTCACGTCTTCGAAGTAACTACTAGTACTACTCACATTGCCCGCACATGAACACACACACACACAACCTAAGACTCAAAAACCACACCTAACACCATATGGGAAAAGAATTACTGTGAATATTTAGTAAAATAATGTATGAACATCACAGAACACGGTGGTGATACACCACAGAATATGAGTAAGTTCCCCATGATTTGCCAGTTTGTGATACCACATCTTTTCTTATCTTTCTTTAATAAAATTTCTATCAAGTGTTGTGGAAGATATAAAGAAATATCAAACATATTCCTTAGTTTCTGATAACAGCTATGACAGCTGATGTTTAATTGGCATTAAGTGCACATGAGGGACTGTTCTAAGTTCCTATCTCAAGTCTATGAACTAGATCTTATTGTCTCAGTCTTATGAATGAGAAAACTGAGGCTCATAAAATGAAGTAGCTTGACCAAGACTTGGAGGCAGAATTCAAAACCAAACAGAAGGCTTGAGCGTCTGTGCTGCTGTCCCCTGAGTCAAACTGCTTTATGTTCAGGAGGAGAAACAAAACATTTAAGACACACCTCAACATAAAACTAGGAAGACACCGCAAACGCATGCAAGCATACATCAGGGAAAATCAGTGCTTCGCTGACCTCAGAAGCAAGTGAGAGCCCTGTAGGCTGATGGCAAAGGAAGCACTTACTTGGCCAAGGTGGGGCCAGGCATTCCCCAGGACTGTGTCAGGAAGCACAGGTGGTAAACCGTAGCAGGTCAGAGATCAGCGAGCAAGGTGATTTTATCAGTTCTTAGGAAGCTGAGTTCATTAAAAATGAGATCAGGCAGAGCAAGGCAGGCAATGTCTCATATCAAACTATAAAGAGCCATGAAAGTAGGCTAAGCAGCTTGAACTTTATCTGTGGAAAATCATCACTGAGCACATGAGCATTTAACCCAGACACATAATCAGTTGATAGAAGAACAATGGTGTCTTGTGACAGGTCCATCTAGATGCAATAGAACAAGATCTCCAACCAGACTTGGGTGAATGAGGGTGGGAGGAGGGCTGGATCGTGGATGGGAAGCCATCCCCCCTCCCTGCCCCTTCCTCCCAGGACTTACAAAATGCATGTGAATTTCACCTTCTTTACCAAGGAGATTAAGTGGGATTTCAGTTGCCATGGTTTCAGTGTCCCCACCAAAGCTCAGGTTGAAATTTAATCCCCACTGCGAGGTACTAAGGGGTGGGATGATGAGTTCCTGAGGATCCTGCCCTCAAGCATGATGAGCCCAGCCCTGGGTTAACAGGTCCATGGGTCATCTCCAGAGCAGATCTGTAATAAAAGTAAATAAAAGTAAATAGTAACACCATTCCTTTTAGGCTACGATGATTTCATATCCAAGGTAACACTACTTAAAACTCAGAGAAAAAGTGCGTTGGCTGTGCTATCTTTGATAGAATGACCCAGTTGGTTCTGTAACCAAAGCCCACCAGTTACACAACTGAAACCCTTTGATTCCATTTATAATTTTTATGCAACTTCATTGAGGCATAATTTACATAGAACAAATGGAAATATTTACTGTGTGACTGCACTTTGGTATTTGCAGGGGATTGGTTCTAGGACCCTCTGGGATATCAGAACCTACAGACGCTTAGTCGGTCCACTGGTTAAGATGCTGTGTTCCACACTGGAGTGCCTGGGTGCAATTCCTGGCTCCAGCTCCTGACTTCAGCTTCCTGCCAATGTAGACCCTGGGAAGCAGTGGTGATGGCTCAAGAAACTGGGTTCTGTCACCAGCCTGGGAGACCTGGATTGAGTTTCTGGCTACTGGCTGTAGCCCTGACCCAGCAGCCCTAGCCATTGTGGGTATTTGGGGAGAAACAGTGGATAAATAATTTTCTCTTTTTCAAAAAGATTTTTTAAAAAATATAAGTCCCTTATATAAAATGGCGTAGCATTTGCATTAACCTACCCATATCCTACTGTGTACTTTAAACTATGTCTCCGTTACTTATGATACCCAATGCAATGTAAATGCTGTGTAAGAAGCTGTTACACGTGTTAGTGAACAAAAGCAAGAAAATGTCTATACATGTTCAGTACAGTATTTCCAACCCATGCATGAGGAATCTGCAAATAAGCAGGGCCAAACGTATTCGGTCTGATGAGTTTGGGCAAATGCATACACCAGATAACCATTATCCCAGTCAATGTACAGAATACTTTTGTTCTCCCAAAATGGTCCTTCTTCAGTCAACTCTCCTACCTCTTCCCCCTCCAAATAGCCATTAATTTGATTTCTATCACTGTCAATTAATGTTGCTTCTTCTAGATAGAACATCACACATGGGGTCACACGGTACGTAACTTCAGTGTCTAATTTCCTTTGTCAGCATGTTTTTCAGACTCATTCCTGTTGTTTGCCATTAACTTGTTCCTTTTTAATGCCAAGCAGCCACCCGTTGCATGAAAGTAAGTCCCACAAGTCAGCTGTTGGTGAACTGCTTTCAGTTTGCGGCTACAATGCGCATTTACACGCGACTCTGGTGTGCACTTCTGTTTTTCCTTTTTTTTTTTTTTTTGACAGGCAGAGTGGACAGTGAGAGAGAGAGACAGAGAGAAAGGTCTTCCTTTGCCGTTGGTTTACCCTCTCCAATGGCCGCCGCGGCCGGCGCGCTGCAGCCCACGCACCACGCTGATCCGATGGCAGGAGCCAGGTGCTTCTCCTGGTCTCCCATAGGGCACTTGGGCATCCTCCACTGCACTCCCGGGCCACAGCAGAGAGCCGGCCTGGAAGAGGGGCAACCGGGACAGAATCCGGAGCCCCGACCGGGACTAGAACCCGGTGTGCCGGCACCGCAAGGCGAAGGATTAGCCTAGTGAGCCACGGCGCCAGCCTGCACTTCTGTTTATTTTCCCTGGGTCCATGCTTAGAAATGGTATTTCCGGGTCCTAGCATATGTATCCGTTAACCTTCATAAATAGGTGCCAGAGTTGTTTCCAAAGTGGCTGTTTTCCGTACAGACTCTGACACAAAAATCCCCGACGTGATGGCCACAGCCAGGCAATACGGAGTGAGTGGCAGTGAGGAGGCCCCGCACTCTGGAAGCCAGGCAGGGGCAGGAAAGGACAGATGCAGACCTGAGAAGGCGTGGTGTTTGATGGGGCCTACAGGGAAGACACACAATTACTGTTTGCCGGAGGTAAATTACCTTCCTCCCAGCACACCACTGGCTGTAGGAGACAGGATGATGCGTCCTGGGGAAATGCTCGCCATTTAGTTAATGGCTTTTGGTTGACAACTGAAAGAAAAGTACCAGGAAAATACCCACTAATGAATTCTTCTGAGAAATATCCAGGAACATTTCACTTTTCTTATGCATCAAAAGATACAATACACATAAGGGGAGGAGCAGAATTGTAAAGCCACCCACATCTGGGTTCAAGCCACATTGGCTTTAGCATCTGTATTGTTTGCTTCATCTTCCGACGTCTGTTTCGTCACGTGAAAATGGATGGAACAGTGGCTTACAAGGCATGGCTGTGATAGCTAACCCAACAAGTCCCACATTTTCAATTCTGCAGATATGGCCAACAAAATTGACACAGGTGTGAAGTTACCATTAACGGGTAAATTTACTGCTCAATTTAAATGTCCATAGGTGTCCTATATATAGGATGGTGGGACACAGCAGGTTAATTCAGGTTAGGACTCAAAATGAGAGTGGCACATGGGTGATCCCTAAACGGAAATTCTTCCCTGCCTCTCCCCTCGCAATTCGAATGAGCTCAGACTGCAAATCGGCTTCTTCACTTGCATGATCATAAATCAGGGCAAACAAAGCAGATGGGACTTCAGTGGAGGTAGGGAAAGAGTCCAATGTTTAAATAATTCTGAGTCTTTGCAAATGACCTAAACTTAGCCAAAAAAACGAACTGCACTGGGTGGAGAAAGAAGAAAAACAGCTAGATGATCTCAGCTCTGTTAGTATCTCATTTGAACATTTTCCTTCTTTTACAGATGTTTCAGGCACATGTGTATCATGGCACACTCTTGGTATGGATTATATGAAAAGTGGGCCAGTCCAAGCATATGAAATAAATGTTCATCCATGTCAGTCATTGATATTCAGTGCTGCTGCTATCTGTTGGGCAACAGTGGTATTTGTTGGGACCAGCCACGAGCCAAATGCTTTGCTTGCACAGTCTCCCTTAGTGTTCACAAACCCTATGGGATAGGCAGTACTATCACACCTCTGGGGATAGAGGAAGCTGTGTCACCCAGCAGTTTGATACTGGGCCACACAGGAGCAACGGTGTCCGTACCGGGCCCCCCAAAGCATCTCCTATTACACCTTCACTCATGTACCCACACAGTCTTGCTTCTGCCTCTACGTCTACTTTGACAGCAAAAATTCACTGCAGTCTTAGAAAATGAAGGCTTTGTAGGCTGGCGCCGCGGCTCACTAGGCTAATCCTCCGCCTAGCGGCGCCGGCACACTGGGTTCTAGTCCCGGTTGGGGCGCCGGATTCTGTCCCGGTTGCCCCTCTTCCAGGCCAGCTCTCTGCTGTGGCCAAGGAGTGCAGTGGAGGATGGCCCAGGTGCTTGGGCCCTGCACCCCATGGGAGACCAGGAAAAGCACCTGGCTCCTGGCTCCTGCCATCGGATCAGTGTGGTGCGCCGACCGCAGCGCGCCGGCCGCGGCGGCCATTGGAGGGTGAACCAACGGCAAAGGAAGACCTTTCTCTCTGTCTCTCTCTCTCTCACTGTCCACTCTGCCTGTCAAAAAAATAAAAAATAAAACAAAACAAAACAAACAAAAAAAAGAAAATGAAGGCTTTGCAAAGAAACATTTGCTCACGTGAGTCAAGTTACACTTGCATTTGGCTGCTCAGACCTTCTCACACACAGAGCAGCCAGATCCAGGTCAAGGTGCCCTTCCAGCAGGTGACAAAGGCACACGGCATTGGGGCCCTTTTAGTAAATATCGCTGAACCTTCACCTACTTAAAACAAAAAACCAAGCCTGATGGAACAAGGACAGAAGCCTCAGCCATTTCAGGTTCTTGTTCCCCCTGCCTTCTTTCAAGTTCAGCCTCACATCCTATACTGTTCCCCACCCCACCCCTTGCATTCTTCCCCGGGTTTGCAAGCCAGTGGGCCACACTTGAAGAACCAGTATGGAGAAGCTCATCTCCACCTACTGACCCCCACCCCCACCCCTAGCCCACCTAAGAGATTAAAGGGCCCAGTCTGCTGGGCTCTGAGCCTCTGCCACGTGTTCGGGATGTGAGCATGACGGCAGATGATCGACCTGTGCAGTTTATTTTCCCTGAATAAATTCGGTCTGGCTGCGAGTTCATATTCTGTCTCCTCTCTGTTCTACGCCCTTTTTCTTACTTTGTGGTGCCCCATGTGAGGCACCACAATCTGTACTCTTCCTTCCAGCTCCTGCTGCCTTCACTAACTCGTTGATTAGCAAGTTCTTGGCAAGTAAAACTCCTTTATAAGAAATAGTAGTCTGGAGGCTGGCTCTGTGGCGCAGTGGGTTAATGCCCTGGCCTGAAAGGCCAGCATTCCATATGGGTGCCAGTTCTAGTCCAGGCTGTTCCTCTTCTGATCCAGCTCTCTGCTGTGGCCTCAGAAAGCAGTAGAAGATGGCCCAAGCCCTTGGGCCCCTGCACCTGCATGGAGATCCAGAAAAGCTCCTGGCTCCTGGCTCCGGATCGGAGCAGCTCCGGCTATTGTGGCCAATTGGGGAGTGAACCAGCAGATGGAAGACCTCTCTCTCTCTCTCTGCCTCTCCTCTCTCTGTATAACTCTTTCAAATAAATAAATAAATCTTTAAAAAAAATAAGAAATAGTAGTCTGCTTGATGTTTCCATTGATTTTTACAAAATGCACTTCACAAATTCTGCAAAGCTGTACTTGCAGCTGCATGACAAAAATACCTAAACACAAGGTTTCTGCTTTTTCTTGGCTTTTTAGGTGGGGAATGGTTCCTTGGGTGAGGAGCTGACCGAGTACTAAATGAGCAGGGTTTGCAAAACAGCAATGGCTGGGCCATCAACAGAGGCATCCAGGTGTCCAGGCCCTGCTGTGTCCTCATAAGCCTTGTGGTTTGGGGCTCCTTACTTAACGCCCCTCAACACCAGCTGCCCCACAAGGGGGGCCGTGCCATCTGGCTGGTCCTCGGCTTTCAGGAAGCTGGCTGTCTCCTCCCTCTGCCGCTTTCTCTACCTCGGTTTCCGGTGACAGCCCGGGGCCCCTGCGTTTCATTTGCTCTGTTCCGTTTCCTGGCCTTCAGCTTCGCCTGCATCCCTCCCCAGCTGGGTCCTGCCTGCCCAGACACTGTACCAACACATTTTACATGCAACACACATAAAGCCAAACCTGTTCTTTCTTTCCTAAAAGAAGGCATTCCTCACCGTGGAGTGGCCAGTTCTTTGACATAGGGCCCCTTATCTCAGAGGACAAATTTCTGAGTCATCTTCCACCCTTGTTTTTCTTTCTCTTTATCTAATCAGTACCCAAGACCTTTGGTTCTTCCCTTGAGGTTTCTTGGATCAGAGCAGACATGAAACCCCCCCCCCCCCCAACACACACAATATTTGGACCAAGGTTTTTTGTCAGAGTAGTAGGACTGTTCCGTTAAAACTAAAATGAAACACACTTCCGCTCTCTAACTTTCAACACCTGGACTAGTGTGTAGTCAGCTAGGCTGGGTCTTGGCTCACCAGGTCACTCCCATTTCAGCATCAGGTAGGCAACATCTAAAGTGGGCCTGGCTCTAAGCCTCTTTCCAGCCTGCCTTGTTGCTTCTTCCGTTGCCCCAACGCAGTACCCCTCACCCTGCCTGAACTAAACTATCTTGGGCATCGCCCGAGCTTTGCTGACCTCACACCTTTACCCACACCATCCTTAACCTCTTCCCATGTTTCCTGCCCTATTGTGTTGATACTCAGGTCAGATTTCGCACAATTGCTGGGCCACTAGTCTCCGCCATCCCAACTGTCATGTTCCTTTTCTCCCTCCTTAACCCCTGCACAGAGACAGCTGTGCCACTTTCAAAGCATTTATCACATAGAAACCTCCTTCTAAGTGATGGATGACATTTTCTCAGTCTACTTCTGAGTACTAAGCAGTCCCCAACTCATTAAACACTGTGACCACTTAGTCACCGTTTACCTAGAAGTTGGAATTAGCCTGTGTGTGAGGGGCCTAAGGAAAACAAAGCACCTGTGGAGAGGAATGCACAGCTTACCCCACACAGGCCTCCTCACACCCCAGCAGCTTCAGAGGTGGTCCCAGCCTCCCCCGAAGGGAGGGGGATCTTCTGTCTGGTAACACTGGGCAAGAAAACCTTGCAAGGAACTTTACCCATTTCACACTCAGCAAGCCCTTTGTCCAGAAGAGGGAGGAGGGGAAGGAGAAATGGCGGGAAGAGGCAGGCCTTAATAGACCCTAGTCTAAATGTCAAGTGGGCATCCCCCATTCCTCCTGGGGAGGGGCCCATCCACACTGACGGGGGGTCCCACCCCATTAAACCCTGCCACTTCCTTCCCACTCCTCCGTCTCACGGCTGAATTCTGCCTTGCACAAGGACAGGGACATCTCTGGTAACCACTGTGTGGTTCTTGGGACAAGGCTGACAACTGTGTTCTCTTGCTCTACCAAAATCACAGACCCATTTTTCCATTATCCTTGTTGTTTTGAATGTAACTACATACATTTATTGTTTTGAATCTGGAAAGCCCTGGAGAGGCTATTTTAGACCCAAATTCTTTTTGATCAACATGGAACTGAGACCTTGGAGAGTGCAGCGACACGGCTGAGATAGCATACCCAGCTTTTGATAGATCAAGGCTCATAAAGGCTCTGAGCCGCCTCTCAGAACCCTGGATTCCTGAATGACTTCCAATTCTCTCTCCCCAAAAAGACTTTAGAAGCCAGCGTCATGGTGTAGGGGTTTTGGGCACTGGTTTGAGTCCTGGCTGTTCCAGTTCCAATCCAGCACTCCGCTAACATGCTGGGGAAAGCAGCAGAAGATGGCCCAAGAAGCTCCTGGCTCTGGACCAGCCCACCTCCGGCCTTCGTGGCTATCTGGGGAGTGACCCAACAGATGGAAGGTCTCTGTCTCTCCCTCTCTGTAACTCTGCCTTTCAAATAAATTAATTAAAAATAAATTGTTTGCTGATTCCAATACAACAGTGTAAGAGCAGACAAGGTTTTGGAACCAAAGTAGGTTTGGATTCTGGCCTGGACCCTTATCGTCTACACTGTTCTGGTAAGTCCATCTGTCCATCTGCTTCCTCACCGGTAAAACGCAGCTGTGTTGGTGAAATGGAACCTGCAGGAAGCAACTGGAACACAACCCACAGAGGCTGCAACACACAACAGGCTTTCTGAAGTCACAAACGTGCAGAGTCGACTTTTCTTAATAATGTTGATTTTCTTCTAGAGCCCTCTGCAAACTGCATAAATGCACCATGCCCATCTGTTTCTCCCTCCCTCCTCTCAGAATGCTGTAATCCCTTGGGTGGCTGTTGAGTGCTACTTAAAAGTCCACCCAATTATTTCTCATAAAAGTTTTGTTTGGAAAACAGAATACCGAAAATGAAGTATTTTGGAAGGTGAACGCTTAGAGCATTGAGTGAAGCCAAGTTGGGTGGCAGAGATAATTTTTTTCCGATGCTTTGCTGAGCTCATTGTTTTTCTCGGATAAAAAGCTGCAGCAGACACTGAACACTGAGTCAGACCTGTGTTGAGGCCTCTGACAGTGCCATAACTGGCCTTGACCTTCAGCTCTGTATCTCCTTGCCTTTCACAGCCTTTCTCTGAGCCCAGGCAGCAGTGGAGACCACCTGTCTAAAACCACATGGCCAGGGGAGAGGTGGTGAAGGCCCTGGGAGGCGCTACTAAAGCAGTACTGGCCCTGACAACGTGTGCTTTTCTATCAAATATGGTGGAGGGAGTAAGAAATTTTAATATTGAATACGAGGGTTACACCAGGTGGTTTGAAAAGTCTGCCCCTGGGCTTGCGCTGTGCTGCAGTGGGTAAAGCATCCACCGGCCACACAGCATCCTATACGCGCACCTGTCTTGAGTCCTGGCTGCTCCACTTCCGATCCAGCTGCCTGCTAAAGGCCTGGGCAAGCAGCGGAAGATGGCCCAAGGGCTTAGACTGCTGTCACCCAGACGGCAGACCCAGAAGCTTCTGGCTCCTGACCCAGCCGCTGCAGTGTGGCCATCTGGGGAGTGAATCAGCAGATGGAAGACCTTTCTCTCTCTCTCACCCTGTGACTGTGTTTAAATAAAATTTTAAAAAGAAAAAAAGCAAAGCCTGCCCTCCACCATGACCTCTCCTCTGGAACGTTCTAAGCCGGTGAGGCTTTACTAGAAGCTTATGCAGTTCCTTTCCTGGAATCCGTGCACCACCGCATTGGGCAACCAGGCTGGGCCCAGCCCACTGAGCCCGAGTCTAAGAAAACACTGCTGCTGAAAACTTATTTTCTCCCTGATGCATCCTAAAGCAACCACCGCAGGGCCCCCAGAGCGCTCAGGAAAGCACACCGAGGCAGGATGGCGACAAGACCCCAGCGGCACACACACAGCGCCTAAGGGCGCAGGAGACCTGCGCAGGCCGCGGCCGCCGGACCCTCAGCACCGAAGGGAGCCGCGGCCAAGGGGCCCTGTGCCCGCCGCGGCCTCCAGCGCTTCTCCGCCCCGCCTTCCCGCCCCCAGCCCCGGCGGTACCCCCGGGCCGGACCAGAACCACAGAACCACCCCAACGTGGAACCCCGGGGCCGTCCTAGCGGAGGGGGAGCCGCCGCGCCACTCGCTGAACCTGCTTTTCAGAAACCCGCCAGGGAGCATGCGCGGCCTCCCTGCCGCGCCGTGACACCCCCCACCCCCCACCCCCGGCCCCCGGCCCCCGGCCCCGGCCCCCGGCCCCCGGCCCCCGGCCCCCAGTTTACTAGCAAAGCACATATTTACGTTTCCGGCCACAGCGGAAGGGAAGCGCCCCTCCGGCCGGCCCCCACCCAGCCGCGGGCTCCGCTCCGCCCCGCCCCGCCGTGACGCGGCCCCGGCCCCGCCCCGGGCGCGCCATGAACTCCCGCGGCCGCGGTGAGGGGCGCTGTCGCGGCCGCGCTGCCTGTCCCGCCGGCTTGGCCTCGCTATCCACGCGGCGGAGTCGCGGCCCCTGCGCGCCATGAGCCCCGCGCGACCGAGCGTCCCCGCGGTGCTGCGCGTCCTTGGCGGGCGGCCCCTGCTGCTGCTGCTGCTGCTACTGAGCGCCCCGGCCGTGCGGGGTAAGTGGCGGCCTGGGCCGGGCCGGCGGGGCGGCGGCGGGACAGCGCGGAGCACCTGAGGCTCCGGCTCCCCCGACACGGGTCCCGGGCGCAGGCTGAGGGTCCCTGCTGCTGACCGGCGCTCGGGCGGCCCGCGGGGGCCGGGTCCCAGCCCGCACACGGGCTGCTAGGGACGGGCTGCTAGGGGACAGGGGTGGCGTTTGAGGTCTCCAAGGGCTGAGTTTCGGGAACAGCCAAACCTGGGGACCTCCGCAGCGAATTCTGGACCCCTACTCATCTCTCTGGGGGGGCCTGGTAGCCGCCCACTCTCCGCTCTCTGGGCTCTGAGCCCAGCGCGGTGCCCGCCGGCTGGGTGCACCTGCAGACGGCTTCTAAGACGCGCAAGGACTTTCTGAGACACTTTGGGGAGTGGTTTGTTTGGTTTTTTTTGGCTCCGGGTTTAGTGGTTGACAAGACGCGAGGCCCAGCGAGGTCTGGGGTTGCCGGTTCCGCCCTGGGAGGGCGGTGGGGCCGTTTGGCCGCAGCTCTGCGTTTCTGAACTCGCCAGGTGACTGCGGCCTGCCGCCGGACGTGCCCAATGCCCAGCCCGTGCTGGAAGGGCTTTCGCCTTTCCCCGTGCAGCACACGGTGAGGTACAAGTGTAATGAAGGTTTCGTGAAAGTTCCGGGCAAGCCAGACTCCGCCTTATGCCAGGAAAACAACCAGTGGTCAGAGGTGAAAGAATTCTGTAACCGTAAGTGCCTGCTTGCTTGTAGTGAGGTTGTGGGGAGGGCGTGCGTCTTGGCAAGGTTATTTTACACCTCTCGTTAGGCACTGCTGATTGATAGGTTTCCAGCCTTATTAAGTCCCAGGGACAGCCCCCTGGCCCTTCACACGCCAGCTAGTGGAAGGCAGCACTGAACCTGCCAGACAAACTCCCAGAGAAATTAAACAATGAGATCCGTTTAGGGAGTGCATTGTATATGAATATATTTGTCCATTACCTCAAGACACGTAGCCTAGGTGAAGTTTTCTTACATTTTAAGTAAGATTTAACCTAATGCAACTCTGACCAAAAAAAATGGCAATTTTTTTGCTTAAGGATTTTTTTTTTTTGGACCGGCAGAGTTAGAGAGAGAAAGGGAGGGAGAGATCTTCTACCTGCTGATTCACTCTCCAAATGGCCCCAGCTGCCAGGACTTTGCCAAGCCAAAACCAGGAGCCAAGAGTTTTATCAGGTTCCCCACGTGGGTGCAGGGGCCCAAGCATTTGGCTCATCTCTGCTGCCTTCCCAGGCGCATTAGCAGGGAGCTGGATTGGAAGTGGAGCAGCCAGGACATGAACTGCCCATATGGGATGCTGGCGCTGCAGGCGTTGGTCTAACCCAGGGCACCACAGCACCGGCCCCTGGCATGGCGTGTTGAAAAGCTCTCTGTGTGTACTTCAGAATCTGTTAAGTGCAGAGAAATGCATCCTCAGGCGATTTCATCACTGTGTGGACATCGGAGAGACAAAGCTACGTGGTGTGGGCTGTATGCGGTGGCCCATGGCTGCCACGCTACACCAGGCCAGCATGCCCCTGTTCTGTGTACCCTGGGCAGTTGTAACACAGTGGGGTTTGTGTCAAACATACCTAACCCTATTTAAACATAGGAATGCAAGTGCTGGCAGGGCAGAGCCCTCCCCCTGGGCCAAGGGAGGTGGCGCTGGGTGAGTCAGCCCGGGAGTGGTGACTGTGGATCTCTGTACGTCACTGACACTGCCCGTGCACGGTGCGTTATCAGTGCCGTCTGCCCGGGCGATGCTGGAGTTATTGACGGATTTTACTCCATCGGAAATGAACTTCGGTGCTTTACTTGACAAACTTTCTAGTTATGGGCCCTTTTGTTATAACACTTAGCTTAAAATGCGAGCACCTTATGCGGCTGCCCAAAAATGTCCTCTTTAGAACCTGAACTCTGGGAGCTGCTTTTCTGTTTACAAATTTTTTTATGTATTTTCTTTTTGACTTTTATGATTGTAAAAAATGAAGGCATGACTGCATACGTTAGTGTAGGCCTTCGTGGGGTCAGGAGGTCGGGGCGCTCATGGAGCTGTCTTCTGTGGTGGACACTTCCCGAGGGACCTTCCTGAGGCCGTTTCACAGTGGAATACACCAATAAAGAACCAAATTCTATTAAGAGCCAATAACACAGTCATCTGGCATTATCCATGGTCAGTATTGCACACCCGTCACACTGGTTTCTGTGATGTGACTAGCCATACAGCTGGTTTGTTTCCACCGGCATACCGCAGACGTGTGGGTCATGGGTCACACTCCAGCCTCACAATGGCTGTGATGTCACCGGGGGACAGGAATTTCTCATCTCCGTTATAGTCATCGGAGTCCTGAGAGTCCTGGTTAGACAGCACTTGATAATTAAAGACAAAGATAAGAGTTCACGCTGCCTTGACACAGCTTGGATCAGCAGAAGGAACTACAGTGTTCACAGGAAATGTCACACATGCTTGGTGAAACCATTTGTGAAATAGGATTTCAGTTCGTTTTGTTTTTTAAGAAGGCAACAAGTGTATAGCCTATTACGTAGGCATCACGTTTCAGTTTATAATTCTTCCCCGTGTGTTGTTAGCTAATCCCCCAGACAACCCCAGGAGGTAGGTGGGGGCCGTCACCCTCATTTTGCGGCTGGGCTCCCGGAAGCTAAAGGACTTCCTGAAGATCAGAGCTGTCCTGCAGAAGTGGCAGCCTTCCGGGTACAAAGCCAGGGCCCCCTGCAGTGGACAGGGGGTCCCCAGAGTCACAGCTGCCTCGCTGCTGACAGTTTGTACACACTTCAGGCACTCTCCGCTCAGCCCACCCTTGTCCCAGTGCATTGTTGCAGGGGTTGAATGAGCGGGTATGAGTAAAACACAGAAGCATTGGGTAAATGTTAGCGATTGTTTCTGTCGTTGCCCCCAGGAGTGAGCAAATATTTCTCCTCCTTTATCCCTGATCACATGGTGCTGGATAATTCCTTAGGGCAGATAAGGGAAGTATTTACGGAGGCCTGGCACTGTGCCAGGCAGTTTCAGTGGGTTTTGGTTGTTGAACAGTGGGGATTGGAATTTCTGCCCATTAAACCTGCTTCGCAGGCCTCTGGTGACTAGAAGTGGAAGTGCACCTGGGAGTGTGTTGATCACGGATCTCCGTGTAGACGCCAGGTGGGTGGGAGGGCATGTGTGGTGCAGACGAGGTCACACTGCTCTCCTTGTTGGCTTTCTCACTGCTTCCAGGCAGCTGCAATGACCCCCCCAGGCTGCTCTTTGCATCCCTTGAAAAGACTTACAGCAATCAGAACTACTTCCCAGTCGGCTCCACGGTGGACTACCAGTGCCGTCTGGGCTACAGAAGGGAACGCGACCTGTCCACAACACTCACTTGCCTTGACAATTTAGAATGGTCCAAACCTGCCGAGTTTTGTAAAAGTGAGTATGAGCCCAGCAAGCTTCCCCCCTTCTGGTGTGTGGAGGAAACAGCAGCTCTCCCGGCACTGGGGCAGGAACTCTGTGTTCTGTCATATTATTACTTAGCGATTTCTTGCTAAAAAATGTTTACCTATTTATATGAAAGGTGGGGTGTCAAAGAGAGGGGGGCGCCGAGAGAGATTTTCCATCTACCGGTTCACTCCCCAGATACCTGCAACAGCTTGGGCTGGGCCAGGCTGAAGCCAGGAACTAGAAACTGCACCCTGGCCTCCCACATGGGTAGCAAGAACCCAAGCACTTGAGCCGTCCTCTGCTACCTCCCTGGATCCGCATTAGCAGGAAGCTGGAACAAAAGCAGAGGTGGGCTCCATCCCCGGCACTCCAATATGGGAGGCAGATGTCCAAGCGTCAGCTTAGCCTGCTGTGCCACATCACTGCCCCTGGAATGATTCTTAGTAGAATCACTAGAGTCATTTTATCTGAAATCAGTCAAACCAAATATTTATATGATGGGAATACTTACAAGTTTTACATTTAATTCATTTGAGGTTATCTCAAATGACGCAAGCATTATTCTAAATATGTTGCTTTTTTGAAACATCATAAAATGAAGGTAGAATTAAAGTCTTTGGGTAAGAAATGTTAACAGTTCATGAATTTACATAAACCCGATCAAAATATTTCCCAGCTTCACTGAAATATCATTAACAAATAAGAATTGTATATAGCAGTATTTAAAATATGCAACATGATGTTGGATATACGTATACATGGTGAAGTGATTACCTCAGTCAGTCTCAGCAGCATATCTTCCACTCACGCAATGCCTTCTGTGGTGCGTGCCTGATAATTTAATGAAAAAAATTAATTTGTTTTCTCTTCTAGAAAGAGCATGTCCTAATCCTGGAGAGCTGCAAAATGGCAATGTCAAGATAGAAACTGACCTGTTATTTGGTTCCTTCATCTCCCTCTCATGTAACACAGGGTAAGTGTTGTCCAATTACAACTCTATACGATGAAGAAACAAATTAGTATTTAAGATGAGACTGTTAGATTCGTGACAGTGTTCACAAACTGGAAGCAAGCGCAACAAGCCTTATGCTCAGATTCTTAGATTTCAGCACCTAAGTGACTTAATATCATTTTTCTAAATGATTTATTTGAAAGGCAGAGTGACAGAGAGAGATCGGCCACCTGCTGGTTCTCTTCCCAAATGGCCACATTAGCTGGGGGTAGGCCAAGCTGAAGCCAGGAGCCAGGAGCTCCATCTGGGTCTTCCTCATGGGTAGCGGGGGCCAAGTACTTGGGCCATGATCCACTGCCTTCCCAGATGTGTTAGCAGGAGGCTGAGCCAGAAGTAAAACAGCCGGGATTGAAACCAGCAGTTCTCTGTGGGGTGCAGGCGTCAGAGACAGCAGCTCTGCCCGCTGCGCCACAGCACCCTCCCGTCAATATAAAATTGTAAATGTGATTCGGAAAGAAAAATTTGGACACATTTATGATACTGGCAGAAATAATAACCTTTAAAGTGTTCAATATGAAACCTGTCTTAAATTGACCTAAATAATGAATCTGCATGTGAGTTTTTCCATGTACAAACATGCTGTTAGGAAATATGGGCTAAAAACATTTATTCCTAATGTAAAAGTATTCTAAGATCTTTTAAAGTTCCCTATAAAGGGAAAAGGAAGTCAGTCATTGAAAACTTTACATTTATTTTCTTATCTAACATTTGCAAGTTCAATTATGCTTTCCTCTCATTCTTTCTCTCCCTCCCTCCCTTCCTTCTTTTCTCCTCTCACTTTCTCTCTCCCTCTCTGTGTTATCTGTTAGTTATAAAATAAAAATATCCAGCCGGCGCCACGGCTCACTAGGCTAATCCTCCGCCTTGTGGCGCCGGCACAACGGGTTCTAGTCCCGGTTGGGGCGCCAGATTCTGTCCCAGTTGCCCCTCTTCTAGGCCAGCTCTCTGCTGTGGCCAGGGAGTGCAGTGGAGGATGGCCCAAGTGCTTGGGTCCTGTACCCCATGGGAGACCAGGAGAAGTACCTGGCTCCTGCCATTGGATCAGCGCGGTGCGGCGGCCGCAGCGCGCCGGCCGAGGCGGCCATTGGAGGGTGAACCAACAGCAAAGGAAGACCTTTCTCTCTGTCTCTCTCACTATCCACTCTGCCTGTCCAAAAAAATAAATAAATAAATAAATAAAAAATAAAAATAAATAAAATAAAAATATCAGTATCAATTGTATCCTGTACTAAAAACAGATATTGATTGAGTCATTAATATAAAGTCTGGGAAATAGTTTGAATTCCTTAGCTTTTTTTTTTTTTTTTTGACAGGCAGAGTGGACAGTGAGAGAGAGAGACAGAAAGGTCTTCCTTTGCCGTTGGTTCACCCCCTCAATGGCCGCTGTGGCTGGCGCGCTGTGGCCGGCGCACCACGCCGATCCGAAGCCAGGAGCCAGGTGCTTCTCCTGGTCTCCCTTGGGTGCAGGGCCCAAGCACTTGGGCCATTCTCCACTGCCCTCCAGGGCCACAGCAGAGAGCTGGCCTGGAAGAGGGGCAACCGGGACAGAATCCGGCGCCCCGACCGGGACTAGAACCCCGGGTGCCGGTGCCGCAGGTGGAGGATTAGCCTATTGAGCCGCAGCGCCGGCCTGGATTCCTTATCAACATAAGTACGTTGTATTCTATGACGTTCATACAAACTCAGATATATAAAATACTCAGTCATCTATGTCCTTTAAGACTGATTCACAACACATAACGCTTTCTAGCATCCATGCCATGCAAATAAAGCATAGGCCACACCTTACACATTTTTACCCTTTGTATGTCACCTTTTTAAGCCTCATTGTTAAAACAAATAAATAAAAATAAAAATAAACTTCATTGTTTCTTTTCCTTTAAATTGTCACCCAGACTTTTATCACCTACTGATTGATCTCCACCTACAGGTGTAGTACATAGCTTAATGATACTCTGGAGAATTGGAGAAAGGTCGAAGATTTGTAAAGGTAGCTTAATTTTTTTTCTTTTCCCCTCTGGCTTTAGGTATAAATTGATTGGTGCATCTTCCATTTACTGTGTTGTTCAGGAAAATGGTGTTGGGTGGAGTGACCGGTTGCCACTGTGCCAAGGTAAGATTTCCAACAAAATGGAAGCTCTCGGGGTTGGTAGTGTCTTGGCTGACGGAAGCCCTTCTGAGGCGATGTTACTTCAGGTATTAGCTGTGGAGACAGACCAGTAAGCTTTTCTGAGCCTCGACATCTTTCACTACACAATGAGGATTTAAACAACAGCCAGCCCTGTGCTGTGCGTGGTCACTTATTACACCATTCCTTCTAACAGGCAGAGAAGCTAGATAGGGGTTCCCTACCCCCACCAGCTCGTAAGTTTTACGGAAGGAAGTACCGGTGCCCTGAGACTCCTTGTCCTGGAACACTCGGCAGTGGAAGGACTTAACCCAGGTCTCTTACTTCAAAGCCAGCATTTTCCCGAGAGCCAGGGTTGCTTACGTTTCCTCTCCTTGGGATAATAATTGTGAATGAGATAAAAATCTAGAACCGTTAGCAAGTGTGATCTGTCATCATCAGAGAGCTAAGGTTATGCAATGAAGAAGAAACGCCGTCTCTGGACTTAAGAGTCTTAACTTCCTCAAGGGTGACAGGGCACAGAAAAAATACCGCAAATGGATGAATCCCCTCGAATGTTGGAAGGCACTTCCAGAAGTTCATGAAAAATGGAATTAAAGATCATTTTGGTGCAAAAAATTTGAAAATGCAGGGCTAGTTTCTTCGTAACGCGCCCTTCTTAAGGGTTGCCTTTATTCCTCTCGTCCTCTTTGTACCTCCAGCTCAACACCTTTACGAATGATTTCTGAAAACCCTATCATCAAAATCATTGTTAGATGCCGTTCTGTTACCAGGAGCAGGAAACTAGACATTTAGTATAATTGATCCAGCGCTTATGTCCTGACACTGCATGGTGTGTGTGTGTGTGGGGTCTGCTGTTTGCAGACAGGTGGCTTCCGCCCAGGGGCCTACCCCTGCCACACCCATCCTCTGCCCTCTGCGTCTACGACCACACCTTCTCCCTAAGTTTTCATGGCTTCTGCACAGGCCTCCTTTCCTACTCCTGGTATCCGCTGTGGGCTGTTGTAAATGACACCAAATGAAAGCTGGAAAGCAAAGGGTGGTGGAACCGTATCCGGCTCTGGCCCAGGAAATGTGCCTGCGGTTTGGATAAGCAGCCCCCCTGGTCTGAGGCCAGAGTTTGCCTAAGCAGCCAGCAGCATCAGTGTCACACAACTGTGGACCCAGGCCTGTGTTCCAGCGTGGACGAGCTTCCACACTGCAGACCCACTCTGGCTCCTGCTTGCCCGGTCCAGGCCCTCGTCCCACTGTCGCTGTGGGGTCTCACTCTTCCTCGTGAAGGCGCTGAGGCCCACTCTGTCCTTCTTGGCTCTTATGCTCCACTTCAGCTCAGCGGCCATTGGCCTCTGCGTCCTGCAGCGAGAGCCCCTTTTCCTGAGCGGTCCCACTGGGAGGGGTCTCGAAAGGGGCACATGGGTGCCCAGGCCGTGCCCGCTGTGATCCTTGTCCCAGATCCCTTGTCTTCTGGGTCAGAGGTGAGCGTTTCAGCAGTAGAGACCACCATCAAAAATATGGGCCCTGAAAGTGGTCTCAGTACAGGGAATGCTGGGTACTAGTTCTAGAGCATGTTCTAGAATGGACAGCTTCTTAGTGAGCTTGTTCTCTGAGCCCTGTAGATGCCCTACTGAGTAGGGATAGGAGGGCTGGAGCACAGCCTTCAAAGGGTGGGCTGTGGGGCAGGCACCCCAGTGGACTGCGTTCAGGGTGATAGTCCTGGCGCTGGCCTCCTGCATGCATTCCTGCACCGCTGGATGCTGCCCCTGTGGAGCTGCTGCTTGCCCGCCTCAGGGGGAGAGCCAGGCAGCTAGTGAGAGAGAGAGACAGAGAGAAAGGTCTTCCTTTTGCCATTGGTTCACCCTCCAATGGCCGCTGCGGCCGGCGCACTGCAGCCGGCGCACCGCGCTGATGTGATGGCAGGAGCCAGGTGCTTCTCCTGGTCTCCCATGGGGTGTGGGGCCCAAGGACTTGGGCCATCCTCCCATCCTCCACTGCACTCCCTGGCCACAGCAGAGAGCTGGCCTGGAAGAGGGGCAACCAGGACAGAATCTGGCGCGCTAACCGGGACTAGAACCCAGTGTGCCGGTGCCGCAAGGCGGAGGATTAGCCTAGTGAGCCGCGGCGCCGGCCAAGGACTGCCCCTGTGTTCTACCCAGAGTGCTGGGTCTGTGACACGGATGTGTCTTGTCTCTCTGCTTCTGAAAGCTGATGAGTATTTCCCATCCCTACCAAGGCCGAGCGCCTGAGCATGTGTACCTGCGTCTCCACGTTGCTGTCTTGCCCTCGTACTTCGTGCTTTGTCTCTGCAAGCTGCTTTGAGTTTTCCGCGTGCCTCAGGCTTTTTTTTTTTTTTTTTGAAAAAAACTTTGGCATTTTTATTCAGACATGTATAAAAACAACAAAACACTTCAATGATATAACAGACATTTGCCCCAGTTCCCCTCCCAAGGGGATGGAGGTCTAAAGCAGGGTCCTGTCTCTCCCACCTGGAAGCGTCTCACCACTGGAGGAGAACAGCTCCTACAGGTGGGCCTGGGGACCTTTGTGAGTCTGCTCTTAGGAGTGATCACGAGAGTTACGGTTTATGCAAAAATGTCCAGTTATTTTTCCTTCCTACCCCCTCACCCCCACCACTTCCTGAGATTTTGAGAAGTCTGGGTGTAGAGGAGGGTTAAACTTGATTCAGTGCAAAGAAAAAAAAAACACACACACAAGTGTCTGTGTCATTGCTGTCGTGGGCGCTGCAGCCCCTTTCCTTGACTGTTTTCTCCTCTAAGACTGGGTTCTTCTGGGCCTCGAGGAACTTCTCCTCGTCTGCTCGCCTGTCTTCCCTGCGTGCCGCTTGTGCACTCTGGCGACGGCCCTCCGGTTTTGTATTGAAATGAGCTCTTTGAGTCTCTTTCTCCACTGGGTTTTGAGACAGAGGACCTGAATCTTGTTCGGGGTCACATTTCTGCCTGTAGAACAATGATTTGTGTGCTAGTTACTCAGAAAATGCCGAGACTGAACCTGGTGATGTGTGTAGACCCTAACTCAGTGCCGTCAGAATAGCCTGTTCTTGGGCCTTGCTTTGATGAGCAGCCTAAGCGTTGCTGGTTTCCGTGCAAACCTAAGTGCATTTGGTGTAATGCAGTTCGATGCACAGGTGATCACATTGCTTTCTTGCTTAAAAAGAAAAAGAACAAAAGATGACAATGTCTCTAGAGGATGTAGAACCGTGGAATTTTTTATCAGGGCAACTTCCAGAGAGAGAGAGAGAGAGAGAGAGAGGCCTCTGTGTATAACTAGAGCAACCCTGCTTGAATTTGTTTTACAAATTCACCTGCTCCGGAAGGTTTATTCTGAATCAAAGTCTCTGTGAGTCAATACGTGTGAAACAGCTCTCACTCGGAGTCAAAATGTGACCTTGACATCCAAGGCCTCCTGCTCCACCCCGAAAGACCCGTCCTTTCTTCTCAGGCATCCCACCCGAATTCCTGGCTCCTCTCATTTGGTGTCATCCTCCCACCCCCACCCCATCCCTGCAGTGACAGACCCTGCTTTCTGCTCCTAGAAGGATTCGTATGAGGTTTAAGCTCTCGATGTGCTTCCTCCCTGACGTCTTCTCTCTCTGTTCCACTTCGACTTCTCAGCTCCTACAACGTGTCAGCCCGTATTTTATTTTCCAGCACCAGCTTGATAAGTAACATGTGCAGGCTTTATTGTAATTTTTGTTTTACAAGCATGTTCTGAATCTTATTTCTGTAAATGGGTCTCAGGGTTCGCGTTCACATTCTACTGTGTTTGTATTCAGTGTGCCAAATATTTTTTCTATTACTGACTAGACATGTGTGCTTCCTTTGTGGGTATTGCTGAGTTTAGAAAGAGGGCAGACTTTGATGTCTTTGAGTAGACTCTTTAACATGTTTTAGTCTTACTTATTTGTAAAAATACCTTACAAGTTTTATTTATTTAAAAGATGTTGTAATTTTTTTAAAGAAATTTCTTGTCCAGAACCTCCAAAAATTGAGAATGGAATGATTAAAGAAGAATCTAGCATTTATGTATATAGACAGACCGTAACATATGAATGCAACAGAGGCTTCACTCTGGTTGGACAGCATTCTATTTATTGCGACGCAGAGAATGAAGAAGGAGTGTGGAGCGGCCCAGCTCCCGAGTGCAGAGGTAATCAGTTTGGATTATCCCATTTTTGCTTGATTCTTACCTTGTAATAGGGACTGTGGTGAGTGTAAAATGCTGCATGGAGGCAGATCTGCATTTTCCCATGGGACAGTTTTTTAGTAAATTTTCAAAGGAGTCTATGGTTTGCATATGCATATGTGGGATACATATCTTATGTTTGTAGTGAATTAACTTAAATTTGCCATTCACACCATGTTCCTTTCAGTAAGTTAATACAGATATCTCTCTTTGCTTATTCAGAGAATATATGAAGTTATTTTGTCACATTGGAAGGAGATTCTTGGCTCTAAATCATGACCGTGCCGGGGACAGCTGGGAAAGCCTCACCGAGCTGTTGGCTCCACAGGGTTTCTCTCATTTATTTTCTGCATCCAGAACCTCTCTGTTTCTGACTGCTCTTTCTCATCCTCCTGGACATTTCTCCTTAATGTCTTTTGCGTCCAGACTATATATGCTCACAATTCCTAGAAGAGATTTTTCAAGAATTAAAAATGTGTCTTTATATTTACTGTTTTCATCTACTTGGAAGACAGAGTGACACAGAGGGAGATCCCATCCGTTGTTTTATGCTGCAAATGCACACAATACCCATGGCAGCACCAGACCGAAACTGGAGCCCCAGAACTCTCTCCAGGTCTCCCCCATAAGTGACAGAGGTCCAAGCGCTTGGGCTATCATCTGCTGCCTCCCAAGATTTGTTAACAGCAAGCTACATCAGAAATAGACTAGTGAGGGGCTGGTGTTACGGTAGCGGGTAAAGCCGCTGCCTGCCATGCTGGCATCCCATATGCGTGCTGGTTTGTGTCCCGGCTGCTTCAGTTCCAGTTCAGCTCCCTGCAAATGGTCTGGGAAAGCAGCAGAAAACAAACCAAGTGTTTAGGCCCTTGCCACCCATGTGGGAGACCCGGACGAAGCTCCTGACTCTGGCCTGGCTCAGCTCTGGCTGTGTGGCTCTCTGGGGAGTGAGCCAGCGGATGGAAGATATCTGTGTCTCTATCTCGCTTTGTGCTTCTGACTGTCAAACAAATAAATAAATACTTTAAGAAGAAGTAGACCAGTGAGACTTTAACTGGCACTACAGTGTGGAGTGGCATCACAATACCTGCCCCTAAATATATTTTAAAAGAGATATTTAAGGGTGAGCCTTTGACACAGCAGATAAGCGGCTGTGTAGGATGCCTGCGCTCCATACTGAAGTGCCTGGGTTCAGGTCCCGCTCTGCTTCCCATTCCAGCTGCCCGCTAGTGTATACCCTGGGAAGCAATGGATGGTGGATCAAGTGCTAAAGTCCCTACCACCCCCTGAGAGGTAGAGATTGAATTCTAGGCTCTTGGCTTTGGCCTGGCCTGGCCCCAGCTGTTGTGTTGAGGGAGTGAGCTAGAATTTGGGAGACCTCTCTGTCACTATCTGTCTCTCCCCCTGCCTTTCAAATAAGTAATAAGTAAATACTTGCAAAGTTGTTCAAAGCCGTCATAAAGCTGGAGCAAACATTACACAGATGGCGTTTGTTTAAGTTGTGATGGATGATTATGATAGGAGATGTGGCAGTTTAAATGGTGAAAATTAAACTTATTCTTTCAACTCTTTTTTTAAAAAAAAGATTTATTTATTTATTTGTAAGTCAGAGTTACACAGAGAGGAGAGACAGAGAGAGAGAGAGGTCTTCCAACTGCTGGTTCACTCTCTAGTTGGCTGCAATGGCCAGAGCTGCGCTGATCTGAAGCCAGGAGCCAGGAGCTTCTTCTGGGTCTCCCATGCAGGTGAAAGGGACTTGGGCCATCTTCTACTGCTTTCCCAGGCCATAGCAGAGAGCTGGATCGGAAGTGGAGCAACCAGGGCTTGAACCGGTGCCCATATGGGATGCCGGCACTGCAGATGGCAGCTTTACCTGCTATGCCACAGCACCGGCCCTGTCAACTCTTTTCATTATGAGTGAAATTTGGTGGGGGTGTGGTCTTCATATTTATTTTCCTATTTCCATTTCCTTTTCCTGTTTCCATTTTTCTGTTTCATTAAAGCATTAGTTATTTAGAGCTTAAAGCTCTATGGCAGTATCAAGTAGGTCATGGCAGGTCAGTCAATATTCCTATTGCAGCAACTGCAAAACCCAGGTAGATAACCAAAAAGCAGCCATCATTAGAGCCGTAAGGTACAGCGGGGAAGCAGCAGGACTAGGTGAACTCAAGTTCTGTGGTTGGAGGGAAGGCAAACCCTTGGGGGTGGGCAGGTTGTCTTTTTCCCTTGGGAGCATGTGCCGAGTCTGCCTGTGGGCCGAGGCCACGTCTTAGGCCTGACATGAGACCACCAGCAGCACAGACTGAGAGAGGAGCCACAGGAGCAGATAGAGGCACAGAACGTGGGTGGGGCTGGCAGTAGTGGTCCTGGATGCTGGCTCCTGTGGCTTCCGGGACAGACACTGAAATCCCTGACCGAAGTGAGTTCCCGAAAGCCTGTTGCTCTGTTTTATCCTCATTTTGCAGAGGAGAAAACCAAAGCTCAGAGGGATGAGAGAACCTGCCACAGGCCCCTCAGAATCTGGGTACGTCCTGAGGTTCATGGAAAATGCAATTAAGAGATGTTTATTTCGGTGTAACAATTTTGAAATCCATGTATACAAAGAGTCTTCAAAAAAACTCAAAGAAAATGTATGTGATGAAAAAATTGCATGGATTTCAGCATTTGTTTCACACCACAATAAACTCACCCTGTAATTCCACTGCTAGCACTCTTTCTGAAGCCCCCACGTATGTGGTGAAACCAGGCCACTGCTGAGCCCTGCCTTAGGAGGGCAGCAAACAGGCTCCCAAAACTGCAGGCATTGCTACGTGGTTAGATTCTCAGACTGCACCTGTAGCAGGAGTTTCATATTGTTATCTGGCCTGAAACCTGGAAAGGAATGAAAATAACATAGGGGAAGCTGGTGTGCAGCATCCCAGGAGAAAGGGGACTTCTCTTTGCCCAGACTGACAGATCACTTTTAAAACAGAAGAGAAACAAGACAAAGCTCCCAAGCCTCTGCAAGGTCCCGGAGAGACTGGAGAGAGTGAGTCTGCCTCGACGTCTGTCGGTCCAGTGATCGCATCCCATTGTTCTCTGGTGTTGGCATGAGCCAAGGAAGACGCTTTTGGAATGAAAAGATAGATGTGTGTCACAGAATTACATCACTACTGCCTTCAACACTGGTTTCCCTTTTTCACATAAAAAACATCCTAAGAGCCTCCATACCACTTCAGTTTCCTGTAGATGTAATTTATGTCAAAGCAGAGACATAAAGCATTTCAGCTCCTTGGGAAATGCACATTAGGACTTGTTTCCCAGAAGTCGTACACAGGTGTTTGTGGAGAGAAACAAGAAAATAGCCATAGAACAAGCAATGGCTAAAACCTCTTAGACAGCAATATTTAGCTAATTTTTTCTTTTACATTTTTCTTCCACAGGAAGACATGTACCTCCCAAGCCTCCACCAGAAGTTCAGGAATCTACAACAGTTCCGTCAGCTCAGAAGCCAACCAAAGTAATTGTTCCAGGTACAGATGCTACACCTACACCTCAGCATTCCACCCCAGTACCTGTTCCAGCTGCAGACGCTACACCTGCACCTCAGAAACCCACCACAGTACCTGTTCCAGCTGCAGACGCTACACCTACACCTCAGCATTCCACCACAGTACCTGTTCCAGCTCCAGACGCTACACCTGCACCTCAGAAACCCACCACAGTACTTGTTTCAGCTATAGATGCTACACCTGCATCTCAGAGACCCACCACAGTAAATGTTCCAGCTGCAGACGCTACACCTGCACCTCAAAAACCCACCCCAGTACCTGTTCCAGCTCCAGATGCTACACCTGCACCTCAGAAACCCACCCCAGTACCTGTTCCAGCTACAGACGCTACACCTGCACCTCAGAAACCCACCACAGTACCTGTTCCAGCCACAGTCGCTACACCTGCACCACCTCAGAAACCCGCCACAGTACCTGTTTCAGCTCCAGACACTACACCTGCATCTCAGAGACCCACCACAGTACCTGTTCCAGCTGCAGACGCTACACCTACACCTCAGCATTCCACCACAGTCAACGTTCCAGCTGCAGGCGCTACACCTGCACCTCAGAAACCCACCACAGTACCTGTTCCAGCTGCAGACGCTACCCCTGCACCTCAGAAACCCACCACAGTACCTGTTTCAGCTCCAGACACTACACCTGCATCTCAGAGACCCACCACAGTAAATGTTATAGGCGCAGACACTACACCTGCCCCTCAGAAACCCACCACAGTACCTGTTTCAGCTGCAGACACTACACCTGCACCTCAGAAACCCGCCACAGCACATGCTCCAGCTGCAGACACTACACCTGCACCTCAGAAAATCGTTACAGAACCTGTCTCAGCTCCAGACGCTACACCTGCCCCTCAGAAACCCACCCCAGTACCTGTTTCAGCTGCAGACACTATACCTACACCTCAGAAACCCACCCCAGTACCTGTTTCAGCTGCAGACACTACACCTGCACCTCAGAAACCCGCCACAGCACATGCTCCAGCTCCAGACACTACACCTGCACCACAGAAAATCGTTACAGAACCTGTCTCAGCTCCAGACGCTACACCTGCCCCTCAGAAACCCAGCACGGTACCGGTCTCAGCTCCACGACTCTCACCAGCATCTCAGAAACCCACCCCAGCACATGATGCCATCACAGAGGCCCCAGCAGCAGCGCAGACATCCCCCCCATCGGGCGCTTCGCCCGCAAACATGCCCGCGGCCGCCCAGAGTCCCAGCACGGCTAAGCCTCCTGCTTCGCGGGCCACACCAACAGTGCAGAGGTTCACTGTCTCAAAGCCTGCCTTTACACAGAGTCTTTCAGCAACCAAAAAGTCCACTGCTTTTCATGCCCCATTGACCAAGGGTCTCCGCAGTACCCCAAGATTTACTTCTGCTCGTGTTACAGCCACACAGGGTGTACCTGTTCCCAGGGCAACCACACGTGTGTACACGACAGGCACGACCAAAGGCAAAGGAAGCTCGCCTGCAGGTCAGTTGACACCGTTCAGGTTTCCTAAATGTGGGCCTTGTGCGCTGTCCACTTGAGCAAGTGTGGAGGGCTCAGCTGGTGGTTGGTAACTTACTGTAGCTAGGGCTTTGCATAGTAACGCTTTGACCTTCCTCGGAGGCAGGCTTGCACTGTGCTAGGGAAAATCTGTAGAATACAAGCATGATAATACAGAAAAAAGTTGTGTCCCCATAAAAGCAATGCTAGACTAAGGCTGATGAAGAAATTCTGTTTTCTGTGCTTGCTTTTGGGAGTCATGGAGTTCTTCAAGACCCCGTCAAAGGACCAGATTTGTACCATCCTTGAGGTTGGTTCTAGGGTCTGGTTCACTGATGGAGACGCATCCCTCAACCATGCTGACGTCTCTCCAGGCTCCCTAGAGTTGCAAATGTGGGACAGCATTTCAGTGTCTTCTAAGTAATTGAAAATATAGATTTTTTTAAAATAAATACTTGACATTATTTCAAGGTTAATAAATTATGGCTCTATGAAAATGGAAGACTATCCTGTAGGCTTCAGAAATAACCTGTTGCACAAATGAATGAAATTTTCTCTACTTAATGCAGCTCAGGCCACCAGGATGTCTCTGTGCCTCACAGCTTGCCCAGCCTATAATCATTTTCATAGACACCCTTATTTTCCAATGGGGACGACGTATTTTTTAAAAAATATTTTTTGGGGCCGGCGCCGTGGCTCAATAGGCTAATCCTCCACCTTGCGGCGCCGGCACACCGGGTTCTAGTCCCGGTCGGGGCGCCGGATTCTGTCCCGGTTGCCCCTCTTCCAGGCCAGCTCTCTGCTATGGCCAGGGAGTGCAGTGGAGGATGGCCCAGGTGCTTGGGCCCTGCACCCCATGGGAGACCAGGAAAAGCACCTGGCTCCTGGCTCCTGCCATCGGATCAGCACGGTGCGCCGGCTGCAGCGGCGGCCATTGGAGGGTGAACCAACGGCAAAGGAAGACCTTTCTCTCTCTGTCTCTCTCTTTCACTGTCCACTCTGCCTGTCAAAAAAAAAAAAAAAAAAAAATTTTTTTTGGGGGGAAATGTCTACAAGATTGAACTAGGAGATAACTTTTAAAAATTTCCCAGTTTTCCAATTGAAGTCAACACTCACATAGAAAACTGCAGAAGAAATGGGTGTACATGGGGCAGGTGTTGAGCCTAGCAGTGGAGACGCTGACAAAGAGCTCAGGTCCCACAGCAGAGTTCCGAGTTCCTGATCCAGCGTCAGCTCCCTGATACCACGGCTCCTGTCTCTCACCGTGGAGACCTGGATTGAGTTCTTGACTTCCTGCTTTGCCTCAGGCCTTGCAGGCATTTGGGGAGTGAGCCAGTGATTGGAGCTCTCTTTCTGCTACTCTGCCTCTCAAATAATTAACTAATTAATTAATGTGCACCTCTTTAACTTTTCTAACGCACATATTTCTGTAACCACCACAAAAGCCAAGAAATGGATTACCAGCCTCCAGCTGCTCGCTTTTCCGAGGCTCTGTGGGTCCTGGACACGGTCCTCCCACTCCTGGAGTCCCAGATAATGAGCTGACTGTGCGCTATACCTTGTTGCTCGGGAGCGCCCCCTTGCGGCTCACCCGTGAAACTGCACCTGCTATGCAAACCTCCCCTTTAACATGTTAAATGCAGTGACTGCTTGCTTTTGGCCACTCTAATGGCATCAAATAATTTTTTTAAATTACAACTTCATACATTATGACCTTCTTTTCATACATTTTATAATTGTTATTTTGAGCCCTACATATTTTACCATGACACAGGTATTTTTTTTTAAAAGAGTTATTTATTTTGAAAGAGTGAGCAGAGAGAGGGAGAGACAGAGAGAGAGAGGTCTTCCATCCACTGGTTCACTCACCAAATGGCTACTACAGCCAGGGCTGGGCCAGGCTGAAGCCAGGAGCCAGGAGTTTCTTCCGGGTATTCCATGTCAGTGAAAGGGGCCCAAGGACTTGAGCCATCTTCCAGTGCTTTCCCAGGGCCATCAGCAGGGAGCTGGATTGGAAGTGGAACAGCCGGGACTTGAACCACAGCCCACATGAGATGCAGGTGCCGCCACGCCTGCATCTTAGCTGCTGTGCCACAGTGCTGGCCCCAGGCCCAGATACTTTTACAAGTTAAACGTTACAGATAATAGCGTTCTCTTGTACATTTCCTGCCACTTTTTCTCCTTGAAGGCAGTTAATTACTGCTCTTAGGGTGATGGGCTTGCTCCCGATGTTTCCATTCTTGTGGGGCATGTATGCACCTGTAATACTGTTTTGAATGTCTTTATAACTAACATAACCAATGTGTTGTGTACTTCATTATCCCACTTGGCTTTTTCCACTCAGCCTTGGTTTTGTGACTTAGGTTGGTTCATTTAAGTTTAGTTCATTAATTTTAACTCTGGTAAGGGACTTTTTACCTCCTATGATATATTTGAGTCTTGAATATTTAGATTGGATGCATCCAATTTTTAATAGGGCAAGGCAAAGAGAAATAAGTTTCTCTTTATATAAGTTGTAGAACTAGCTGTGCTGAAATATTTTAAAAATATAGGTAATTCAATGAATTTAAGCCTAATGACAGTTATGATAAAATGTAAGCAATATTCAGCCACAAACTCTCTCTTGTGCAGTTGGCTTATCCCTTCAAGGTATGATATAATGTACTCACAATATACCATGCTAATGTAATGTGACATTTATAATAAACTGCACTGTATTTAGTTCTTATTTAAAAAACCGTCTCTACCACTCACAGAGAATGTGCCGCCGTGGCCTGTGCCTGCCTTGCTCCTCCTGCTGGCTGGCTCCAGTCCCTGCCACAACCTCCCAGAAGAGTTTTTAGCTTTATGTTGTAGATGAGGAGTTCAGGGGTTAGAGATTCACTTGTGCATTGACATACACTGGGTAGCTCACAGGGAGGAAGCTGGAATTTAAGCACATTTGCCACCTGCACATCCTGCTTTTGCTGCTGTGTGCTGTTGCCTGTTCTAAGTGGCATTCCAAGCAGGTGCGTTCCTCTCACTTAAGAGCAGTATTTTTGCACGGAAAAATAGAATGTTACAATGAGGTGACTTGCCTGTGGGTGCAGTGTGCCGGAAGGGCTCAGAGGTAAACTCTCAGACTGAGAGTTTATCGATCGGAAGATAGATCAGCAGTTATTTAACAGAGCGCTGCAGACAGACTTATGTCTGGACATCAGGTCCTAAGACCGGATTGAGATGGTGTGTGCTTTGGTATTCAGGAGCTGTCATAACTTATGCTTATAGCGTTGACTCTACTGATCAAGTATAGACACGACATCTGTGTCTACTGATTAATAATATGCAGTTGTTTTCATACATTTTAATCCTTATAGTTTGGATTGCCTAGGAGCTCTCAGGTGTAGTTTATTGAGGTACCTACATATGTAAAATTTCTAGCGGATCAATGAACATTAAAATTGTTTAACATCATAATTTTTTTTTCTTCTTTTTCTTTAGGTGCTGCCTATCTTATATCTGGTAAGTTTGGCTCTCAGGGAGTCAAAACCAGTTGTCAGTGTGGGATGTACAATCCATATTCCTGGAAGAGAATATTTTCCTTTTACTGTCTTAGGAAAACTATCAAAATGCAGTGTGTGTGGCTGCCTGCGAGAAAGTGGGCGCGTGGGTTTTACCGGCAGGTTTTGTGGACCCCAGCAGGTGCTCGGTACACCCCCCTGTCTTCCCAGCCTTGTTCCTGCTCCAGGGTCATTTCAGGACGGCTGCAGATCCTTTGGCCAATGACTCGAGTGTCGCTGCGTGCCCACTGTCTCAGGGCTCCCCTCTAGGGCCTCAGTCATCATGGCCAGCCCCCCCGTATTTCGTGGGTGACCAGAAACCGTTCCCGGACCATTCCCGATTTCTCTGCTAGCCCAAAGAATACCGAGGGCTTCCATCAGCTCCACCCTGCTGTTCTCCCCTTCCTGTTAATGATCTGAAGCAAAGTTGTCTTAAGGAAAAGTATTCTGTGGTAGACAGGAGGCCCCAAACGTACCTGTGCCGCAGTGTCTCCCAGCGTTTGGTCCAGTCTTGATTTGTCCTAGACATCTTGTCTGATATGTGATGCCTTAACAAGATTAAGGAACTCCTTTGTTTGCCAAGGAGCACTGTGGCAGAGTTGGTTTACGGATAAGTCCAATAGAATATATACTTTTATTAAAAAGTGTTTAACATTTTATACTTATAAGTAAACTCCCTTATGCATGCCAAGGAGTACTACAACTGAAACAGATATTATATTTCTATTCTTACTACTATTATTATTTATTATGGTTTCTTTATATTTTGAATGAACCTCTCCTAAGCTAATCTTGAAAGATTCCAACAGTTGGAATTCACTTTGTTCATTCTATATTTTAAATAGAAATAAATGCATTCTAAATGAAGATCACATGCTTTAATGGTTTAATGCGTACACAAGGGGTGAGTTTCATAGAGGAGTTTTCTCACGCCCACCCGCTGACTTTGGAAGTTTCAAGTGCTATTTTTTTCCCTTAACCTCTTGAAGCATAGATTTCCCAGGAAACATTTTTCCCACGGTCGGTTGTAATTCCAGCTTGGGTCCAAAGGAAAGAGGAACTCCTTCCTACTTAAATCAGACATACAGCATATTTTGGGTAACCTTAAACTTTAAAGATATAAACCTGAAAATTATCTTTATTTCTTAAGTTTATTCTATGAATCCAGTCAGTTTGTTACTTCACAGCTAGGTAACCTCTGTGCAATGAGATTGCTTTTGTTGATTTCACTGTAGTGCAAGTAGATGCTGCGGGTCATGCTAGAGTTTTCTAATCCTTTGACATTTTCCTTTTGCCTTCCACTGAAAAAGAGAGATTGGTTCATCCTCACGGAACTCCCAGTGTTACCTTAAAACGATGCTGCTGTTGCGAATTTAAAGATGCTTTCCCGCTGGTTCTGTATCCGTATTTCTCAGTTTTCTTTCCATTCCTGCCTCTTCCTACAGAGAACATTTTTAGGCATTTTATTCCTCACCCTTCCTCTGTGAGATTGAAATTGCACACATACACTAGAAATCTGTTTGTTCATTTGAAGCGCGTATCTCCATCTGAGCTTTAGACATTAAAGGAGAGTGAATTTTTTCACCTTGGGGTGACGTCAGCCCGGTTGAGAATACGTCCTCTGTGTAATGCTTTTGTCTTTGTTTTTTAAAGGCAGCGTCATCTAGAAAGACCTGGTGCCTCGGAGTCCGTCCGAGCTCAGTTTGAATCCCAAGTTTCTCGTTGAGTAATTATGCAGCCCACGTGATCAGCTTGAGCTCCGTGAGTCCCAGGTTCTCGTTTGGGGGCTGGAGATCACGATCGCTGGTTCAGGTCTTGGACGCTCAGTGCGATAATGGGTCCACAAGCTCCTAGCTCCGTGCCGGAGGCCGAGTGACGAGCAGCGGTCATCGCATGCGGTCACTCTTATTTTCCCAAGAGAAGCTTCTGTTCGGGTGACCGTTCTCCTGGCCACCCCAGAGAGTAGGCTACAGGTGGTACTTGCATGGCTGGGTGGCAGTTGCTGTATTGAGATTTGGAGGTGCACTGTTCCCCTTTGCCTCTCACAGCGATCCTGCAGCGTAGGCTTTAGCTGTGACAACTGGTGTTTTGTCGATTGGTCAGTTGCCCAGGGGCCCTGAGACAGCAGTCGGTGGGAAGATGCTCATCCTAGTGACAGGGTGACGGCTGGCACAAGTGAGTTAGACTAGTGAGCTGTGTGTGTGTAGATTTCAAACACCTTTTGCAACAGAATAGACTGACTTTTTTGGTTGTATCATAACCAGGTTTTTTATTTCAAAAATCCTGTATTTAATGGCTCATTGGGCACACTCCGGATCATCTCGGGTCACAATGCATCGGATGTGAGTCGCACATTTGGAGAAATATTAGGCCCCATTTTCCACAGGCTTTTTGACATCTGCTCATAGCCCTGATTCTCTAAAAATTCTGCAGTTCTTTTCTCTCCGTTAGCGAGATCTTATATTGTGACAATCATAAACCCCTCACAAGGATAAGGAAGGAATAGTCAAGAAAAAGAGTGGACAGTGAGAGAGAGAGACAGAGAGAAAGGTCTTCCCTTTGCCGTTGGTTCACCCTCCAATGGCCACCGCGGCTGGCGCACAGCGCAGATCCGAAGGCAGGAGCCAGGTGCTTATCCTGGTCTCCCATGCGGGTGCAGGACCCAAGCACTTGGCCATCCTCCACTGCACTCCTGGGCCACAGCAGAGAGCTGGCCTGGAAGAGGGGCAACCGGGACAGAATCCGGCGCCTCAACCGGGACTAGAACCCGGTGTGCCGGCGCCGCAAGGCGGAGGATTAGCCTAGTGAGCCACAGTGCCGGCGAAAAAGAGAATTCTTAAAGTATTTTTCCATCTACTTGAACGTGGCACATGTTGCAGCTTAGCCCAACTCTAAGTGTACTTGAATCTGAAGTCAGTCTGTGAAATGCATAAGGGGCTAGTAGAGGATTCTTCTCTGTGTCTTAGCAGACGTGTCGTTACATGTGACGGCGATTGCAGTTACTTACCTGATACTCAGGTAATGTAGTTCAGGATATGTTACAGGGTCCTGTGGATCTGGAACAGGAAGTGTGTGAATTTCTTTTATTTAAAACATTTGAAAGAGTACAGAGACATAGAAAATCTCAAGATAACCCAGTCAATTAGGGGCCCCTGTGGATGTCGGGAGGAGGTGGTGTTGAACCTGCGTTTGTAAATCAGAGAGTGTAAAATATACCCAAGTGCGTTCTTGTCCCATCTCCAGAAGTCTTTTCCAGCGTGCTGTCCCTTGTGCACAGGCCTTGTCGTCTGGTACGTTAAAACAGGGTTATAGGTAAGAACAGAAGCCACCCACAGCCTTCGCAGCTGTCCGTAACGGTAATGCTAGGCGAGTGAGACCTTTGGAAGCCTTGTCAGCCCCCATCTCTTCAGGAAGAGAGACAGGCCTCCCTGAATTCACGCCAGCGCCTGGAAGTAGGATTCTGCCTCAGGTTCTCTGGGAGTGGAGACGATACTTTGATCAGTGTGTTGCCCATCTCATATAGATTTTCATATTTTTATTAAAAATCATGTTCGCATGCTCTGGCTTGACTCTGGAGTTAGAAATCAGGTTTTCTCTGGCAGTGAATTGTTTGTCTTTCCCTTTTTTGGTCTAACTTTTCTCATCTGCAGCAACAGGTATCATTCAGTGTAATTTGCTAGTATGTACTGCCTGCTTCCGTGGTCTGCCAGCCACCGTGCTGATGACTGAAGGGGACCAGTGAGGACAGGTCGCGATGGCTTCAGCGCTTCCTGTAGTACTGTGTGTACACATGGGAATCTCACTAAATACTCCTTTTTGTTAAAGAAACATGCCTTCTAGACTTAACTTGATTTTCCTATCTACAGTTCTTCAGTTGAATGACCAGGACATTTTAATCATGATTATAACTTCATACATAATTTCATACTTCATTTTTGCCAAGTTGTGTGAATCTTACGTTAACACTGATTCACCTTTGGATTTTTTCTGAGTTTTGAGGATTTTTTCTGAGTTTTGAGGTCACAGAGTACTGCCCATATGCCTGAAAGTTTTGTTGGTTTCTAATTTGGGAGAGAATATGCACTTATTAATTTACTAAGAAGATGTGTTGAATTTTATTTCTCATATTCCTGTGTTTTGCTTTGATTTTCTGTTAATTCATACAGCCTCCGCAAACTTTCTCTAGAATTACAAATGTCTATTGACCAGTGTTCTTGGAATAGTCTTTTACTTGTGTCATCCAGGTTCCTCAATACTTTTGAGTGGATTGTCTGTCTTCATTTGTCATTTAAATTGAAAATGAGATATTATAAGTGATGAGACTAATAGGAACTAGTGAAGGGAAGAAGAGCTCCAAATTTTGAAGAGCTGTGAGTTATTTTGTGGATAATCTTTCTAAGCCAACGACACAGTGCTAAGAGAGCAACTTAAAAAAATGGATTGGGTAAAATACTCTAAAAATGTACCTGTTATGGAAGTAGGTTTTTTTTAAAGTCTTGCATCCGTTTGGCATAGTCTGTATTTTGTTGATTTAAGTCTCATTAGCTTCAGTTCCTTCACCAATGTCAGCTGTAATGTCCTCTGTAGTAGAGATCAAAAGAGTAGACTTGAAAACACTGCAGGTGGAGGCGGAGATGGGGGAAGGGGGCGGGACAAGGGGGAACCGAGTGGTTTAGAGAAGTAAAATCGTCTGAAAAACAAGTTGTAAACTTGATTGATTGGCTGCTGGCCAGCTTTCTTGGCCAATTAATTGCTGCTGTTCAGCTCAAAATAATGTCTTTAATCTTAAAAGTAAACACAACAATGAAATGTCATGAGTGATGGATTGAACCTGGAAGGCACACTCCACAGGCGTGGTGAATGTATTTCACCCTGCAGTCTACCTTGATGGGGAAATGGCTGCTCTCTACTATGAACTCAGTAGAAGGCCTTCCCACTAACCACACGGGCAGCCGCCACCTCTCTGAGACCCACTGACACACCTACAACGTGAGCGTGAACGCCACAATACCTGCTAGGTCTAAAATTTCATCTGATCATCGTGTTCGAGTGATCAGGGATCAAAACGTTGAACATTGAGCATGGTTAGGCTTAGACTCTGAAATCCCCTCAAATGTGTCAAAAGGTTGTGTTTGAATGTTGTGACACTTTAAACATGTTCTTTCTTTCAAAGAAAATAGGGCAAGTAACATGCAGTGTTTATGGTCAAACTTCGAATGGAAGAAAGCCGTGGGCAAAATGCAGCTCACGTCTTCTCCTCCAGTTTGCTTTTCAACCAGTGTGTATCTTACTGTGACCCCGCAGTGTACATGTATGTTATTGCTTGTATTTCTATTAACTGTGTTACCACGTTTTTCCCCTCTCAAGGACTTGTTGCTGGTACTGTAATAGTTGGTATCCTAATTCTAGTCAAAATTTTCTGGGACTATGGAAAATCAGGGTGAGCAGAAATTCTGGTGACTTTTAAAACTTTATTCTTAGCTTTTTTCCAGTAAGACCTGATACTGACTATATTGCATTTTTTGATGTTTTCTCTCTTTGTTCCATCTATCTGTAATTTCCATCTTGGATGAAAAGACTCTCTCCCTCCCTCTCTCTCTCTCTCTCTCCCTCTCTCGCACGGAAGAAAGCCACTAACCACATTTCAAAGTGATTTGAAAGCCAGAGTGTTACTTTTGTAGTAAATCACCATTTTTGTTCTGCTTGATAGAATATGGTGGTATCTGTGTGTTACACAGAAGCAAAGAAATCAAGAGAAAGTCAGTTTCTAACCCCGTGTTAAATTGCCCTCGATCAGGCGTTGTTCTGAGTTAGGTTCACTAATAGATGCCAGTCCAGCCAGAGCAGGCTAGGGGTGAAGAGGGCAGGCCCTACCTGCTGGGCTGGAGTTCCGGCCTCCCATTTACAAGCTTTGGCTCTTAGCAGCTTAACAGCTCCTTGCCCAGGTTTTCTCATCTGCAAGTGGGGGAAATACAGTACCCACCTCCTGGGAGTCTAGATCAGAAGCAAGCGAGTGGTCAGCTGAGGGTAGGGCATGCTTGGCACCTAGTAAGCACTCGGACTTTAAGGCAGCAGCATGAAAAGACTCATCAGTAGTATTTGAAATTGGAATCCACACATAGTAAGTGCAGTGTCGTGGTTGGCTCTGATGTAGACAGAGGGTGATTTGAATTGACCTGTTTTGTACAGTTAACTCTTTAGGAAACTGTGGAATTCATGGGAACTTTGGTCATTTCTAAGCTGCCCTATTGCCTGCCCACGTTTTCACTAATTAATATTTTTAATTCTGCTACTAAATTGCCTGTTTTACTCCTTTGCATGATCTTTGCTTTCTATTTTTCACCCACTATAACTCCTTTTCTCTTTAAAATAATAAAATCTTTAAGCCTGTTGTAAATTAAACTATATTATAAGCATTCTGTAAATCACTAAGTGGTTCAATCTTTTGGTAAAAGTTTTGGTAAAAAGATTTTTGATAGGTCTGGGCAGGGTGTGGAGTTAATAGTTTTTACAGATAGTAAAGTAGTTTAGATGCTATGTTAGCAACTGTAGTAAGATCCCATTTTCTGTCCAGATTTTTCAGAAAGTTTTTAAAAGATTTATTTTTTTTTTTAAAGAGTTACAGAGAGAGGAGAGAGAGAGAAAGAGAGGTCTTCTATCCACTGGCTCACTCTCCAGCTCTAATAGGGCTCAGCCAGGCCAAAGCTAGGAACCCAGGGCTGCTTCTGGCTCTCCCATGTGGCTGCAGGGGTCCAAGCACGTGGGCCATCTCCCTTTGCTTTCCCAGTCACATTATCAGGGAGCTGGATCGGAAGTGGAGCAGCCGGGACTCAGACCGGCAACCGTATGGGATGCAGAGCCACAGGCAAAGGCTTAACCTGCTGCTCCGTGGCACCGGGCCTGTGTCAGTGCCCAGGCGATACGGTCAGAGCCCTGTGTCACATGGAGTGAGTGAGGTTGGATGCCTCAGCAAGACAAATCTGGAGGAAAAAAAGAATCCTGCAGTCTTGGGACCTCCCGTGACTGTTCCAGCTCTCCTACAGAGTGACACCAGGTCATCGCATTGTAGACGATACGTTTATAGCATTCTGTCAACTGGCCACAGCCAGTGCTTTGGGGTCTGTGGGTCAGAAGTGGGCAGAATGTAATGAGCTTAGCTACATGCTCTCTCGTGGCCATGGCTAAAGTAATGGATCCTGCTATTTTAATAGGAAGAAACGTGCTGGAACATAGAGGAAATACTTGCTCTGTGTAACATTTGGGGATTTGTAGTAAATCTAACGGCTCCACTTCTGAGTCAAAGGAAAATTCATGCAAATCCCTAAGAAAGAATTTGTGATTTTCATATGCACATTATTCCCTTGCCTGATTTTAAAAGTGTGAGCCATCAAGGGAAGGAGCTAGCTTTATCTGTGCCTGGGTATTCTGATGTCACACTGACCGCACTGAAACTTGGAAGTTAAATAAGACAGGGCACGTAGTGAGTGTGACCCTGGGGCCAGCTGCTTCTGACCATTCTGTTTGCTAGTCAAAGGATCTGTTCTGTTAGAAATGTGAGGTTTGTGTGAAAGTTCTTAGTGTAGGGATGGGAGTGTAGATTAATGCTTAATTTTACTTTGTGATTGAAATTAAAATTAATATATTGAATTAGTTTTCCTTTTCTACCATCCAGCACTTATAACACAAATGAGAACAAGGCACTCAATGTTAAGTTTCATAATTTAAGTGTGACTGATGATGCCTCAGAAGTAAGACCTTCTGATAAATTATAAAAGGTATCTATAGTTTAATCACATTTCTGTATCTTACAAAGTATCCGTCAGCGCAGTCGGCATAGGGCTTCTCTCTGTTACTCTAACATGATAATAGAGGCTTCGGTCTCTATTATTGCTGGAATTGCTTGCTTTCTTGAATGGGTGACTAACACCTGAGGTCTCACAACCACAGCACAGGTGATCTGTTCTTGACTGCTTCGTACTATGCTCATCATCTCATCCTGTGCTTTGCACTTGGTTGGTGGTAATGATTAGATGCTGAAATGCCACAGGTGTTTGGAGGTGGGGAAGGGATGATACATCAGGGCTTAAATGAAAATGTTTTCATGGCCACAGTTTGCATCATGAGATGATCAGCCTGTCTTGTATTTGTTTCTCCTTCTGCTTGGTAGCTTTTAGTGTCCAGTGTTTAGGAAATGTAATATGTGTTAAGATATTTTCTGTCATGTTTATAGATCTTAAAAGTCATGTCTTATGTCTTTATCCAAAGCCATCAGCTGAAACGACTTGACGTCAATGTATCTGTCACATTTTCCAATGCCGTGATCCCTGGATGAATCTTTCCTCTCTTCTACATGTGCTCAGGGGCTTTTCCATTGGTTTAATCGGAAATGATCCTAAATGATTGTAGCTTGGCTGCTGTTAATCTCAAGAAACTAAAAATCTCAACTGTGGTATTTTAATTGTTGCTATCGCTACTAAACTCCCCCTGCCCAAGTTTACCCATACTCTGTCCCTTAACTAATTTTGCATTTGTTCCACACCCCAGATTATCCAGTCTTTTTTAAAGTTGATCACATAACAACCAAAAATTAATGGTTCTCACCAGTAAGTAAAACTATTTTGATGTGTTTTTTTTTTTTTTTTTTAACTTTCAGGACACACATGGGTAACATTGACAGTTTTGCTTGTGCTGCTAATAACCGTTGGCTAGCTGCGTTAGCCAAAGAAGAGAAGGAAGAGAGTGAGCACAAGTGCACAGACTGTTTCCGTTTTCTTAGAACTTTCTGGAGGAGTGACTGTAATAAATGCAGTAGTGTGCTTCAGTCTGCGGTGTCGTCTTTAAGGTCTCTTAGGAGTGTGAGCAGAGCAAAGGGGAAAGGACTTGGTCCCGGCAACACACCCAAAGCCTTTGAAAACCTGAACAGCTTGAGGACGTGTAGACTTTGCTCATGCCCAGAATGGAAGCATGAAGACAAGGTAGTCTGTGACCTTTTCACTCGATGTGTGATGCTATTTTGACTTGCAAAGGAAACTAAGATTTAGAGCATTCATTGGGTATCACAAAGAAAGAAAGAAAAGCTGACTCCGGTCTCCTCCAAGTAAAGTTTCCCAAGGACAGTGAGCCTCATTGTAAAATAATCCTTGGCTGTACCTTCGTCTTCCTGGATTCCAGTAACATGGGTCTGGGTGGATTGGCCAGGGATTGGGAAGGCACCAGCAGGAATGTCGAGTTTCTTGGGTGACGTGGTGGCAAGGCAGGCGTAGAGAATGAACAGCTCGTTCTTCCTTTGTTGCACACACACCGATAAAGACCCAGGATTTAGCCCATTGTAAGATGCGTTTGCTGAAATTCTGCCCTTAGGATAATCTGTTTTGTTTTGAGTTTTTGATGAAAGAGCCCATGAAAGGTGTCTTTTTTGCTTAAGATCCTTAAAAGTGTCCAGAGAAATTACAGTATCAACATGAGGAAAGATTCTGTATTTCTGAAGTGAGATGTTCATAGCCAAATTGTAAATCCTGATTCTTTTGTAATATTTATTTATATTTATTTATCTCAGTGGACATATTGCTTTTACATGTGTAACAAGAAAAATCAAAAGAATATATGTAAAGAAAAATTTATTTTCCCTAAAATAGAAATAAATAATTGATCATATTTTCTGGTCTCATGTAGTATTTGAAATTTATTTTCTTAAATGTGAATATTTCTAAGTAGTAAACCCCCTTCCTGCTTCCCATGAGTAGTTTAGAATCCTGTCCGTTGGTTATCCTAGTATGACTCGGTTTTGGCACCTTTTAAATTATCCTGTATATTTCTTTCTCAGGCTTATAATACACTCTTCTGTTGGAGCGTTACTGTTATTTGTTACTGATTTACGTAGAGCCAATCACAGTAGGTTCTTAATATATTCTTGTCATCTTACCAATTACATTTTAAATGTCCAAAAAGACGAGAATATGCACATAACCGGAATGAAGTGACTGTTTGGTCACACTGTTGAAGTATTTCAAACTCTATATGCTTCCTGGCATTTTACGGTGAATACTCCAACATGCATATCTCACAAAAAGAGCACTTCTCTGTGTGTCCACAGTCGTCACAACTAACAAGACTAACAGTGTCTTCAGAGTTTGTAATAGTGGGAAATTCTTTGAACTCTCCTAAAAAGTCTGGGGATCATGTGTCTGCCGCCTTCGTTCATTCATTCATTCATTCATTCAATCCATGTGAGGGTCTGCCCTGTCTGATTGCTAACAGCCGATGCTTCCTGTGGTAGCGGGGGTAAGGTCAAGTCAGTTACTGAGGTGATCAGAGAGCCTGGTATGTGCAGATTACCCAAAGCCAACATGACTGCCGCGCCC